TCCCCAGCTCCCGCTACTATTGTCGACATGTGTCGAAGCCGCGTAGTTCGGTAGGCAATCCTGGGAGCGTACCCACTTGGATAGCCCAGAGAATTGCCCATATCGAGGTCTTTCCTGTCCGTCGTCACCAAACCCCAAGGTAAAGCAGGCGCTCCTTAAGAACGCCTCTAGCAGCTGCATGGCCCGCCCGCCTGCGTGTCTCTGCCCTCCGTTGGCCCTAGGCTCACACCACCTGGCCGCTGCCCAGGCCTGGTGTGACGAGGTCCGACCTGATCGAGAGGGAGCTTCTTCGCAATGGAGGTGAACAGCTCTTGCACATTCTCCGCCGTCTTGGCTGACGTTTCGAAAAATAGTAAGCCCGCTTCGTTGGCATATGCTTCAGCTTCGGCCGTCGGAACCGCGCGCTTATCGGGCTGCTCGTTGACCAAATCCAGCTTGTTTCCAGCAAGAGCAATGATGATGTTCTCGTTCGCCTGCCGTTGAAGTTCCTTTATCCAAGCCTTTGCCTTGTCGAGCGATGCCTACATGCACCAGGGTCAGTAACCACGTCGGGGTTGTCTGATGGGTTCTCAGGATGCGTACAGATTGAGTGATATCGTAGACGACCACGGCACAGTTGGCATTTCGATAGTACATAGGCGCCAGAGACTTGTACCTCTCCTGGCCGGCCGTATCCCAGATCTCGAACTTGACCGTCGTGTTCTCGTCCAGGGATATGGTCTGTGTGAGGAAAGCGGCGCCGATGGTGGATTCTCTGTACGAGTCGAATTGATCCTGGCCGAGTCTCAGTAACTGCTTGTCATACGTAGTATTCAAGAGAGCAGTCGGTATATACCTTGACGAATCTCAACACTATCGAGCTCTGGAGATGGCGTTAGTTAGTGTCCACGGCGTGTTTCGACGACATCGGAGACCTTGGCTCTATACCTTTCCTACAGCAGACTCTCCTAGAGGTACGTCAGTTTCGGTCAACCGGACAGGAGGTAGAAAGACCGATATAGGCCAACAAACCTAATAAAACCAGCTTGAACTGTGCGAAGCGAGTGTTCATGCCGCGGCCGGCAGCGGGAGCTGCGCGAGAAGCCATAGCGATTATTATATGTGTGCGGATTACCAACAAGGGCGAGAAAGTGCGTGGTGCAGTTGCTGCGGGTTAAAGACAAAGGAGGCCGCGGGAACTACGCCTGTTCTTTGTCGCAACGGCGTGCGTCAATACCTTTGTCGATAAGTTGTAGTATACGAGGAGGCCGAGGGGGGGGGGGAAAGATGGTGTGGTCTGTCGAGCGTTTCTGATGTCTATGGATGGTGTATCGTTGCGTAGTTGCACTGAAGTCTGATGGTGTATTTGACGGTGATGACGGGAACGTTGGGGGTGTCTTTGGTTACTGCCTGGCCATCTGTTGACCAAGTTGAATGATCATGGGGGCCGGTAGAAGTGACCCATCTTATCCGCACTGAGAGCCGGTAATAGTAGGTCACACGTACAGGACTCTTTTGAGATGAAAGTCTACGCACTAACCTGAATAGGCCTATACCTACCTCTTGTGAGCTGAACATTTGGAAGTGGCTGAGCCCATATGCAGCATACTTTCAGCAGTCGGTGAAGATGAGCATTTCACATACCTTGCCCCGATATGTACTGTAGTCTGTAGTCTGTAAACCTGACTTTTATTTCATTTTGACCGACTCCTGCCTGTAGCTGGCCCTGAGTTCGGTTGGTATATACTCTTACAGCGGTATCTACATATACTTACTATGTACATGTAGGCTAGAACAGGTCAAGGGAGGTATCACCATAAAAGGCTGAAATGCACAGTACCTCTGCCCACCTGTGTTTCACACACATACCATTTCATCAGAAGGCTAGAGATGCTGTACAGGACACAGTGATCTTTTTTTGGTCTCTAGAAACCACAACAAACCTATCTGTCAATAAAACATTCCTCGCGCGTGCTAGTCAAAGGAGTTGGTATCCCGATTTCTGACACATAATCCACATCGTTTCGGAGCTTGGTACAAGTTTACACCAACAACACCAGCGACGAATTACCATAGTAGTTTCAAGCGGCTCCTGAAGCGCTACGCTGTCCCGGTGCGCTTACTACTTACTGTATTTTAAGGGTCCTGGAGCCCCCCCCATCAGAGGAATCTCTGGGCTACGTTAGGGGGGTCGTATCCTAGGCACTCCCATCGCTAACCTAGGTAGTAGACAGTAGACTTCCCCAAGTCTCCAACCCACCTTGAAGCCGCCATTCTCTTGAAAGTGCGAATGTGTGTGCGCCAATCCGCGCCATCTACCGGCCCATCATGACGCTCCCGTACAGGGACATCAATGTTCACGTCGCTACCGACTCGTATACCTTTACCTCGCCTTCTTCGCCAAATGCCCCAGCGCTGGTAATCGACCGCCCAACAGGAGACGTTCGTCTCAGCGAAACGGCCTCTTTCAACAATAAGCGTGTTGCTCGTGTTTCAAGCATCGCTGGCATTCTCGGCCTCATCCGACTCCGGCTAGGTAGAAATTCCCCCAGACTCTCAGGGCTTACAATGGTGACCATGGCTGACTTCTAGGTGCTAGACAAGTATGTCATCGTTATCACAAAGGCTCAGCCCGTTGGGCGGCTAAAAGGGCACATGGTGTACAAGGTGATCTCGACGGATTTCCTGCCCATGCGCGAGCGGCAGATCCGCGACCCTGACGAGGACCAGTTCCTTTTCCTCCTTAAGACCTTCATCATGACCGGCCCCATGTATTTCTCCTATTCTCTCGATCTCACCAATAGCTTCCAAAGGCAAGCTTCCGTCGACAATACCACGCCTCTCTGGATGCGCGCCGACGACCGCTTCTTCTGGAACCGATTTGTGCAGGGCGATTTGATAGACTACAGGAGGATCGGGAGCCGGTCCCAGCAGGGTCCACAGCCAGCGGTCGACCCCTTCATCCTACCTCTGATTTGGGGTACTTTGGAAATACGCCCTACCAAAGTGAAGGGCACGCCCCTCACAATCGCCCTCATCACTCGAAAGTCCAGATACCGAGCCGGAACGAGATACTTCACGAGAGGTCTCGACGAAGAGGGGCATGCTGCCAACTACAATGAGACCGAGCAGATTGTGGTTTTGAACGACACGGGGGGCTCGCTTGGCGGGTTTGCAGGGAGCACGGACATGCAGAGTGGGAAGTTTGGGGCGACTGAAGGGCCGGAGATGCAGATCATGTCATACGTCCAGACTAGGGGCAGTGTTCCCGTATATTGGGCCGAGATCAATGCTCTCAAGTACACGCCGAAGCTTCAGGTTCGGGGCATCGAGACCGCTTTTTCTGCCGCCAAGAAGCATTTCGACGAGCAAATTCGCATATATGGAGACAACTACCTCGTCAATCTCGTCAACCAAAAGGGACGCGAGAAGCGCATCAAGGACGCGTATGAACAGATGGTCGAGATGTTGCTGAGCTCCAAGACGGAGTCTGTGACTTCAGACCTGATCACGGACGAGAAGTTTCACGTCATCGAGCCGAAGAGCACGAAGCAGGAGTTTGACCGCTTGCACTATATCTACTTCGACTTCCATCACGAGACTAAGGGACTGCAGATGCATCGCGCGATGATGCTTGTCGACAAGCTGCACGATGCCCTAATAGAACAGCAATATTTCCGAGGCGTTGATATGCCCGCCAACGGTGGACTAGAAACTCGGAACTTCCAGACCAGCGTGGTAAGGACGAACTGCATGGACTCTCTCGACCGAACCAATGTAGTCCAGAGCATGCTCGCCCGGTGGACTCTGGACCGCATCTTCGTCGATCTGGGCATTCTCTCCAAGGGCGAGACTTTTGCAACAGCAGATCCGGATTTTGAATTCCTTTTCCGTAACCTCTGGGCCGACAATGCCGATACTGTGTCTAAAGCTTATGCTGGCACCGGAGCCATGAAGACCGATCTCACCCGATTGGGGAAGCGAACCAAGCAAGGTACTCTTCAAGATGGCCACATTGCCATCAGTCGATTTTATCTGAACAATTTCAGAGACGGCCCACGGCAAGATGCATATGACCTGTTCCTGGGCGCATATGAGCCCACAACTGCAAACATTGGATCGTCTCTCATATTTGCTGATCGCCGACCCATCCTGATCCAGAGCGTGCCCTACATCCTCGCTTTCAGCATATTCTTTGTGCTTTTGGGAATGTTCACCAAACGTCTACCGGATTCTGCCGTCCTACCTATGCGTCTGTTCATCCTTTTCTGGCTGGTCGTGGGTGCCTGGTGTTTCAGCTTCATCATCCAGAACGGCATGCTATACGTAAGTGTCCGGTCTCGGAGCTAGTTGAAAAATACGCTGTGCGCATACTAACTATTCGATTCTAGGTCAACTGGCCAAAACTGAATCCCCGGCCGTGGGCAATAGAGGGCTACCAAGAGACGATAGGCAAGATCAGGAAGGACAAAGTGATCGGACCTCTAGTTGCAAGACACGAGCGTGGACTGAGCACGGCGAGATACCTCAATGCGGAAGAGGGTAAAAAGAGGATCGAGTGACCTCGAGGTTTATTTTTGTTGTCGAGCACCGCTTAGCCTTGGAGCACATGACTTAATCTACTAATGAGCCAGCGCATTGCTCTTTCTCCTTGCCTTTATCAATGTACCTCATGTAATAAGACAAGATTGTTATATGCAGTGATCACTGCAATCTGATTCAACTTTCAAAGGCGCCTCTTGCAATATTATGTTAAGTGTCTGTATTTTGAGCAGACCACACAATACATACCTACCTACCTAGGTTACTTCTTCATTCCCCAATCACATTAAGAACAGAGAATGTTGGAAAAAAGAAGGTATTCATTCTACAACAACCGGCACCAACACTCGTCACGACTAGTTAGTTAGCTCGATGAGTAGCGCATGCACAGGGTCCAGGTCTAAAAGGTGTCCCAGCCTACATACAACAAACAAAAAGAAGAAACATCGCAATGATAGAAGGGGATAAAATAATAGATGCTCTCGAACGGGGAATCGAACCCCGGCCACCTGCGGACTGTCTCCCTTGTTTGAATGATGACAAGCAGGTATCCTTACCACTAGACCATTCAAGATATTTGGGATGTGAAATCCTGATTTGTTGAGAGCTGGCGAGTTTACAACGGCTTATATATAGCGCGATGGTGTGGGAAGGGAATGGGGCTTTGGTGGGTCGGACAGGTTTATCTACTATTTGTTGTGTTGGGTCCTTGACTCCACATACTTAAGTAGCTAAGACTGGAGTTGAGAGTGCGTTGTGAATTAAGGCCGTGCCTCTCAATGCTTAATTCGAAAGAAGGGCGAAGTGAGAGGAGAGGCCAGTTGCAAAGCCAGACCCATTTGTTACAAGTTGCAACAGAGAGACAACGGCTGCATGGCACGTCTATCTAGATGTAACCTTGGCGTCTGTACCATTGCTGTCCTAGACTAGATGAACTGGAGTCCTTTGCGGGCATTGCAGGAAAGATAGAAGAAGCAAGGTTAGTCAGAGAAGATTGACAGATGGCCTATCAATTGTCTATCACCTCCTTAAGAGACGTAGTTTAGCAAGTTTATCTTGTGTCAAAAAAGGTGCTGTGTAAACCTTGGAGGATGCTGTAAGGCGGGTAGAGCTTGATACGTCTGCGTAGGTACACATATCGACTGTCAAAAGGAGAATGACAAAAAAGAAGAGAAAGTTCTCTGCTCGGGAAAGAAAAGGAAAGCAAAAGAGAAATGCGACTAGGGCCTGATTCGAACAGACGCTCCCGAAGGAAGTAGATGTCACGTTATACAGCGAAGAACTGTATATTCGAGTCTACCGCGTTAACCACTCCGCCACCTAGCCTTATTGGTTGGTTGGAGAATCTGCTACTACAAACAGCCTATGTTTCAGCACGCAGGAGTGGACCGAATTGTTTGCTTGCACGGTTGAATCTCTACCGAGGCAAGCATCAGCAGTAGGTAGAACATGCAATCAATTATTTATAACACCCAGGCAAACATGGGACACATTTGGGTATTAAGTAGAGAGTTCTGCTATGTCTGTTATGGTAAAAGGTGTGATTGCAGAAGGGCAAAGCTTGAACTCTCTGCAATGAGTAGTACCTAGGTTAACCTAAGGTACATACCTCACATACTTACGCAACCCTACCTCTCTCCAGCTTTCTGGGTGCAAACCCAGATGGAATCTAATCAGTCACCATTCACCAGATTGCAGAGAGCAACAACAGAACTTTGTTTTGGAACCAGCACTTCGACATTGTGCTTCAATTCTCATCAGTTTTCCTGCAAGAATTATACAAGTTGAATACACCCTACAGACTGTGTGTGTTTTACAACACTTGCACAGTACATACAGTCCGTTCCAAACCGACCGGCCCACACAATCAAAACTCCCACTTCCTACTAATTTTCTCACGATCAGTAGCCCCTTCCGATGTTACAGAAAATCCCTCACAAGGAGCCGCAGAACACAAATCGGGTCACAAACCCACAAATGGGCGAATGGTCTAGGGGTATGATACTCCCTTCGCATCAAATCAGCATGTGGAATCTGGGAGGGGTCCGGGGTTCAATTCCCCGTTCGTCCATCTTTTTTTCCCTTTTTTGTCCTTATGCAAGATCTCCCTCCCTTCAGGGACACAATTACTGATTTTTTTTTTTTTTTGCCTATTGGCTTCCTCTATTTGGCATGGTTGAAAGGAATTGCGAAACATGCCAGCAAACCAACGAGTTTGCAGGGTTTGTAGATTGTGGGGCAGAGGCACATGATGGACAACGTCGTCTCTGCTTTCATCCTCAGCCAATCTTCAACTTGGCGCAACTGGCTCGTGTGACTTGACTGCACAAAGAAAGTCAGTTATATGATATAGTTCGTCCGGGTCCTGTCAACAGTCTGTTGTCTCTACATCCGAGCAGGCTTTCTGGAGCAATTGCCGGATCGCCAGAGGTCCAGACATCTGACAGACAGATACCGAGCTGGAATATTCAACAGGCCTTGCTGCTTGCCTCTCTGCCATTGCTGAGCCTGCCATCATGTCTCCTGAATCTGATGGTACGCCTCAGGGACGGCATGCTTCTGTCGGAGAGTCGACGGGTTTTCCGAAGAAGATTTGTACGAGTTCTACAGCACATGATACAACTCCTTCGGAACATAAGCCCAAGCAAGGTTTGTGATTCAACCGACCACCAAGCAGTAGTCTTTAAGTCTGAGTATGACGACGTGCGTCCGTATACTGCACTGCCAAGAAATACAGAGAGGAGGAAACAAGGACCTTGCAGTGCGGATATCGACTTGCTTTCGGGGGGGCTCTCCCATACAAGTGAGCATTATAGAGTCATAGACCTATAATGGTATACGTGTGAGGGATCTCAGAGCTGTGCTGTTAAAGCTCGAGATCTTCTTCGCAGAGAATCTGGCGCCTGTATAACAGGTCACTCCCTATCAACTCAACCTGAGGAACTCAGTCCTCTTGGGATCAAGCTCTGTCATGTATTAAGTTACTTGCAACATCTGGCCTTCTGCAGCTAGAACCCATGGATACGAGTATGGTGTAGGTGAGTTTATTGGTATTAACCAGGGAGTCATCACAGTCCCTGGCCGCTGATATCAAATTATGAATTGTGAGTTCAACCGAAGTACCGGTTGATTTACTACTCATCCCGACCACGAACGGAAACCACCGTACTGGCAATATATAGTCTACGAAGTATGCTAGGGCTCCTGAATGTCCGAACTTTCACAGATGGTCATGGGTACGTACCTGCCATCTACAGGAGGCAGGCGTAATGCCTGTATAGCTGAAGGCTTAAAGTACCGAGGTATTCATGTGTCGATGGAGCATTCACGTCACCCTACTCAAGTGTGTGAATGCCTAAGTAAGTGAATGGACAAAGACAAGAGAAAGTATATCTTGAATGCCAACTTCGCTTGTTCGTTGCACGGACACTCTGTCCCTGTCACTGTCTGCGGTGTAACTGGTCCTCTGTCAGGTCACACACACCAGCTTATCGTACATCACCTTTTCCCTCACCCCATCGACGTGCATGAAGAAAAACACCTCCACCTCTATGGTGTCCAAGGGCGAAAGGAAAAGAAACTCCTGCGCTAGTTACCAGTGGTAGGTAGCATTTCATATTCTTAGCAGGGTGCTGTGAGCCCACTGCTATGCACAAGCCTCTTATAACAAACGGAACTGGACAAGAACTCTACTCTCCGGTTTGATCCTTCATCAAACAATCTTTCTCTTTGGTATTTTACCTTGCATTGGGCCCCACAACGACGAAAAAAACTTCACTTCATCTAATCTCTTTCCTCCCATGAAGAACAATATTTAGTTCCAGCCTCTCACCACTGCTATCACCATCACGAACAACACAACAGCAATCAATACGCGGCTCTTTGCCCCAAGCCAGAGTGACCTCGTATTCGCCATCTTCTTGGGGTCAAGGTGAGACATTCGGACTTAGCGCGGGGAGGTGATTACGAGATAATTACTATTTGTGCCCGTGTGCTCCTTTGGCACTCGGCCTTCTCGACACTTGCACCCTGCACTTGACTCATCCATTCACTTTGCAAGGAGCGATATTCCCTGACGGCTACCTACTTCCCACGTCGTACACAACTGAGGGTTTCCATATAATACCCAGCACGGCCCCAATCCTGCTTTGTTCTGGGCTGAGCTTTGCTGGTCACCGGTCATCACTCTGTCGAGTGACACCCTCCAGCTCGATCACGGTCTCGGGTCACCTTTTACCTTACCTTTATTCTTCCTGCTTATGCATACCTGCGACAAATACCTGCATCAGTCCAGATTCTTGCCATATAGATGCTGGTGGCCTGTCCGCTAACCGTTGTTGACGCTTAATTACAAGGTATGTCTCACCCCTCACATCTACACCCTCGGCTCTTCGAAAGCCATTCACAATATCCATTCACGCACCTGTAATGAATGCAGACTTGTCTCTTGCAGAAGAAGCAAGAGTACCCTTACGTCTCTGTCAATGTACTGACGCTTGAATACCCCAGACCTCCACGATTTAATATCTCTTATACCTGCTTGAGTATATCTCTACGTGCATCAACAGTCAAACTCCACCATCCAAGCCGATTGCCACTCTACATCCACAAAAAGGAAATTGCCATCGCCGACCGAGGAGGATGTGCCGACAAGTGTACCTCCGTTTCCACCAATGCCCCTGCGAGCTCCGGTACAGACTGGAGGAGTGCAAGCACGGTCGGCGTAGTCCGAAATGCCGGGAGGTCGGTGTGTCTCTTATGTAGAGCAGCAGAGACTACTGCCACTGGCACCGGCGATGGAACGAGATGAGAGAAAGGGCGAAGAGGCGGGCGAGCAGAATGGCCAAAGGATCGGCCTCAACGGCGGCAACGTGCTCTCACTACGGACACGGTCCCGGTCAAGACTACCAGCAAGTATCCGGACAGCGCTACTATCAGTACCAGCAGCGCTATCACGGCGGATCGCACGGCTACAACAACCCGTACCATGAGAGCCCCATCGACCTCACCAAGTATTACGGCGACGCTGTCAATGGCGACACGACGGATAACTCGGAGATGGAGAACAGCAGATATTTGTGGACAAACAACTCCAACAACACGGTCGGACAAGAGACGGTCAAGGTCAAGATTGAGGATGAGGAGGATGAGAATAATACTGTTCTCAAGAATACGCCTCCTGTGCAACGACGACGTCTGGCTACGGGTTGTGCTGCCAACTACGAGATCTTTGGCCACTTGCTGTCCAAGACATACTGAGGACCTTGCCCTGAAACAGCAACGCGCCATTCCTTTGATTCATCGTATCCGATACTCCAATACCGGCATCCCACTGCTTGTCATGCCTTCTGCTGGTGACCATCGGAAAAACCGGGGAATGAATGGGCAGGCATGGAGCTCTAGTCAACCTGGTTGGGTTATGCCCAAACACGACGAATTGCAGACTTGCGATGGGAAAGCTTCGAGGGTTTTTTGAACTGGCATCATGGATTCTCTATGGAAGGATCCATTATCTTTGCTTTTCTCGGATGCCCGGGGGAATAGATGGGTAGTGCGCATGGGCTCACACAGGCAAAAAAGGTTGGAAACAACAACAAAGGTTTAGGATCACCACCTATATCCCATCTGTATACTTCCTACCTGACCTACTCTACTGACTTGGGCGCCTCGATATCCTTGTTGCTAGACATGGGATAGGTGAATGGCGGAGAGGGGAGAGACAGAGCGGATGCTTTTCTTTTTTTTTCTTATCAATTAGTTTTCTTTGAAGTGGAAAACCCTAGCTTTACCTACCCGCTATATTTACTTACCTACCCAGTTTGCAATAACTTGCTGTGCTTACATACCTTATGTTAACCGACATGAAGTCAAAACTAAGTAGGTACTTAGACAGACGTCAACTACCTACCTAACTTAAGCAAGCAAGCGAGCACGATGGGAGGGAGGGTGAAAGCAGGGAAATGGCGATTCTTTTTTTTTCTAGTACAATTCCATTTCTTATTTACAAATTGCACTACTTACCTACATGCAGTTACCTACCTACTTACTTGCTTTACTTTACCTCTCACATCTATCCTATACCTACTACAGTAAACATCAATTGATAACCTTCCCAGGGCCATCATCCATCATCTTTAGAATGATTGATGATGTAAGGGACATTATTCTGCATGTTAGTTGCATGGAGGCTCAAGCTGTGACTGACTGTACTTAACCTAGGCAGTAGCAGCTAGGTATTAACGGCATCGCACCTTCCTATGATTAAAGGGTTTCAATGATCCGAGGCTTTGAAAATGAGGCGAGAACACCTACTACCTCTAGGACTCCTGCCGGGTCCGGTATGCTACATAAGTAACCTAAGTACTAGGAAGGGGCAAGGCAGCATCGGGGTTTGGACCCCGTTACAGGGGAATTGGTCCTTATCATTACTTATGTATGTACCTAGCTTTGTAGGGGATGATTTCTGGGTTCGAATCCGGAGGATTGGGGTAAAGCAGGTGAAAAAATTATGTGTGATACAATACCTATTGAGTCCCTTGCACGTTACCTGGGCATGTCGATGTTAATAAGGTACATAAGGACTTTGACCATTAAATTTTTGTCGGATGTAGATATCTCATGACCGGCTGCCGGAGCCGCAAAGCTTGCTCCCAATCAATCTCTTCCATGGTTGATGGATCAAATAGGACCTTCAGTGCAAAGAAGTTACATTACAGGCTTATCTTGCTGAGAGGAGGCAAGAGCGTAAAGTGTAACGCCGCTTCTGTTGCTGGCCCCCTTCCTGCACAACAAAAGTGGCTTTTAACGTTAGATGTGCAGGTCTCGAATAAAGACAACTTTGCACCGGTTCAGGCCTAGTTGCACCCCGCTTTTCACTATTGGCCCACCCACACACCGTCCTAGGTAGCCTGAGAAGAAGTGGTGATTTTGGTACGTTGGAGGACTTGCTCGAGCTGCACGATGGAGAAACCTGCATATGCACGGCGCAGTCCCTGTCTCTCTCTCTCGATTTTTTTTTATTCTGCATGTAAACAGAAGGCGACCAATTGCCTTGCTTTAATATGTTTGCCT